TTGGAACCATCGTCAGTCTTGGAGGTGGTCTATATATAGATCGTAAACACCACCCGAACTCCGTGGAGATAGCTCCGCCGCGTCCGTGCAAAAAGCAAAGACGTGTTTATTAAGATTGGTGAAGTTGAGACGCTTCAGTCATCCACCCCAAGAGGCACTCCCTCCATATATTTCGGTACGTTGGAGGTTCTGAGTGGATTGAAGTTCGAACGAATGTATTGTCTTGTCTTGATGATCTGCTCGTTCTGCCCCCAACAAAAAAACACATGCCACTCCCTCCTTAGAAAAACAAACGCATTTACTACAGTAAATGAATCCTCCCAATAAAGCATGGATTCCTGCACAGAACAACCCAATATCAGTTTGGAGTGGATCCACTAATCTATACTATACCCCCAAAAAATAAAGTTTGGTCTTGATGGACATGCAAATCCAGCATTCAAGCAGCACCAAATCTCCTTGCATACACAAAGATCTCAGAAGAGGCTGATTTGCTTCGATCATGGAAGTTTAACATCGACATCGTGAAAAGGAAGTGACCGCCCAGAGCGACGGTCGGTTGAGTTCCGCTATCGATGTCGATGTCACCATACAGTAGATTGAGAGTAAATGGCACCATGCACAATCCCCAAGTTTTGGTGGTTTACTTGGCCATCTCAAGGACCTCTTGGATCTTCTTGGATCCTTTTGGGCTGCCTCTTGGCCCACCAATGCGTAGACCGAAGCACACCTGCTTCTGAACCTGGCTGATGTCCATCCGCCGATGCAACGTGACGTGACGTTTCCGCCTCCGCCGAAGCCGCCGCGCCTCGACCGATGCCCGTGCCACCGCCAGTGATCAACACCCAAGCCATGGCGATGCCCCCGCGGTGCTTCACTGGAGTCTGCGGAGTCTGTGCACGAGGGCGGTCGTTTCACTCCGGCGATCCAGTCGGCTCAAGCAGTCCACGTTTGGATGGGTGACATCAGGTCGAGACCTGCCAGGTCTCGTTCGAGGGCTGGGAAGTGGAAAGGGCTGGGAATTTGAAGGTCTGAATGGTCATGTTGGGGCTGCAAGTCTCGGAGCTTTACAGCCCTGCGTGGCGCAGGATCCGCCACACACAAGAACATCTAGAGTCTCAGCCGATTTCTGAGCGGCCAAAGATCCAGGCCCTTGGCTCATGCATCATCTCATGAGAAAAACAACTAATATGCTTGTTGATCCTCTTTGTGGGAGGAGGGGCGGAGTGGGGTTTCCATCTTGCCAAGGCCCATCTGCACCAATCAATGGTCCATGCTTCTCTGGCCAAAGCAGCTGCAATTCGAGCGACGGAGCGGCGGAATAAGACATGGGTGTGGAACAAAACGCCAATAGAAACAGGGGGGAAGAACCTGCAAAAGGGTTGCGCACTGGAGAGCCTTCGTAGAATTGGGAGTGCGAGGTCAAGAGCATGTACCCTACAATAGAATGGTCACGGATCCCCGGATGTGATTTTTTCAAATGCTATATATACTAGCATGGTTTCAAAAGTCTAGTTCCTCGAACCGTCGTCAAGTTCCTTTGGTGGATCAACTCATGTCCTTGGTGTCAATAGCAAGTTCCATGGATCATGAGATGAAACAACACCCTATGAAGCTGCCAACTAAATAAGATCATGATCATGGAATCATGTCCATAATTTTCTATCCACCATTTCCATTCATTTGATCAACCAACAGGATGTCGGTTTCAACAAGGCATCCTGCTGCGCGGGACATATGAGCCCACCCTAAAAGCATCTCAATGGTCTCCGTGTTCCTCGGAAAGCTTCATATAGGACCTCCTGATCATGGGAGCCCACACGAAAGACAACCCCTTTTCACCTTTGCTTCGGACAAAGGTTGGATATACTATATCCCTTGATGATGGCTGGTCCCAACAATAAAATCACGCAGTTTACCTCGGTATCAACGGATGGTTTGTGTTTCCTGCTCGTTTTCCCTTTCCGAAACCACCGGAACCCCACCCCTCAGTTCGTGGCTGTCCACGGCCGGCCGCGCCGGAAGCGTCTTCGCTTAAGGGCGATCGACCTGGCTGGGGCATCCGACAGGTGAAGGGAGGCATCCGATGGACTGGTTGGTGGGTTGACTGGCATGTTTTCTATCATCAATCATCCCAAGATCGACTGGCTGGACATCTGAAGTCCCCTCACCGGGACACCTGAAACCAACACAGCACCAAACCTTTCGCCCCGGCGACCAAAAGCGACGATCCGGTCCATCCCCAAAACCCCGCGGGCGAAGGCGTTGAAGCCGGTCCAAGACTCCAAAAGTTCAGTTGCACCAGTTGGCGAAGTGGACTTGAACAAACTGGAGAAAAGCATCGGACCAACTCACCCTGCTCATCCCAACATCCCTCACTGAGAGTGATGATAGTGATGGTTTCCTTCCCGCTTCACCATGCTTCCCCACGTATACTCGCTCTCTCTCTCTCTCTCTACTACGAGCGAGCGAGGTCGACCTCGCGCGTGACACCGGCGCCTCCCACGGCCTCGGTGGGGCTGCTGGGGATGGGGAGCTGGGCCTGGCGCGTCTTCGGACCGCCCCGGCCGCCGTCTCGCTCCGTTCGCTCCGGACCGAAGCAGCGGACTGAAAGAACCGGTGATCCGCGGAGGTTTGGCTCATCCAATAAGACCACTCACAATTGATCAAATATACTGCAATAGACTGGGGGGAACCAAAAACATGAGGGAAAAGACACCTCGAAGAAACCTCGTGTCTGATGGACCGGACCGATACGACGAAGACGTGCCAGAAACACGAGGTCATGCAGCTTTCGAGGAATCAGAGGAGACCCCTGAAGGTAAAAAATATGAAGACTATGACAACTTCTTTATGCACAGGCGCGGGGGTCTCACTGTGAAAATGCAAGGCCATTGGCCAACGGCTTGGTAGATCCAACAAATGAGAAATATACGGTTGGAATCTGGGAATCAGTCGGCCAGCTGATTGGTCTGCCTTATGCTATGCCTCTATATAAAGGCTTAAAGCTCTATATGCCTGGCTGCCTTGCGCGCCGAACTCTCCCGCCTTCGGCGAACGCTCCTTGCACCAGCCACAGGAGACACCCTTCACCTGGGCGGAACGACGGTTACCCGTGGCCGAATTTCTCGGTCCCTGGGGAGTCCCATGGGGTCATTGGAGTGTGGGGAGGCGCTGTCTGATGGATTCCGCATTGGCGTTGTGGACGGCAAGTGCGGCGACAAGTGTATTTGGATGGCTTCCAGGAATCTATACTGGTCTGGTGGCTCATTCTTCCTCATTCCTTGGGTATATCATAGGTATATCCCATGAACAGGACCCGATGATCGTTGGGTTGCAGGCCGTGGACTCCGGGAATGGTGATCATCCTTTGCCGATACTACTGTATTACACGACTGTACTACACCGGGACTCCGGTGTGGCCCCCCTCATTCTCCACCCCGACCTGAGTCTGGTTGGCGGAGGGGTTCTGATACTACCACGACCTTGGTCTGGGAGTCCCAGGAAGACCATCCTCGCTTCCATGGATTCCATGGCAATTTCACTTCACTTTCAGATTGCGCAAAAATGCCAGCACCGCTTCCTCAAACCCCGTGGAACACCATAGTCTTTCAACAAAAGCTAACACGAATGAACTGACCACATCACTTCTATAGTCAATTCACTGACTCCCTCGGTTTCCCTGGAAAACCTGTTTAGGTATTCTTCCAATTCCACCCCCCCAACAAAATGACCGTACGCAGGTGATCCACTGAACTCCTGCAGTGCGGGTTCTGAAACATCTGAACGACCACAATGCCAGCTACTAGTAACACTACTGGTATCAAAGGGCACCGCTACGAACGGAGCAAGAAGCGACCATCCCAATTCCGAACCGGCTCGTCGAGTCCCAGCGGAGCACGCGATCTCCACACCTCTGCCGGCTGGTTGGAGTTTGGAGCCTGGCGCGGGATTGGCCAATGGGGGTGCGTCTGATTTCCGTGGTCTGAGAGGGTTGTAGAATTCTCCAATTGTCCTCTTTCACGAAACGACGAAACCTCTCATGATCTACTTCCACAGAATTCTTGGTGGATGGTTCTCTTATGTTCTCTTTCTCAAGGTCGAGAAAGAGAATGTCCACCATGTTACGTGTCGCTCGGAGTGCTTGTCCCATCCAGCCGTGACAGGGGCACCCTGGGCACCCCGGGCACCCCGACTTCCTCCATGGATAGCACAATGACATGTGACAGCTGGTCGTTTCTTAGTCCATCTCCTAGCAGGCCGTCCGCACCGTTGTCTGAGGCTCTGGCCAAACGCTGTGGAGGGAAGGAATCGGGTGCCTGAGCTGGTGGAGATGGACCGGTTCCAGGATACCTTTCAAACAACAGATCGAGCAATCGGGGCAGGAACCGTGGGAGCCGCAGTATTTAGGCCCCCAAACATTGGGATCAGGTGTTTGGCATCCAAATACGTAAGCCTTCTCTTTTGGGGGGGTCCCAACCTCCTACATGGTCATTCAACCTTATCTTCAGCTCCTAGTATTTTTTGGGCCTCCAACCCAGTAGCGATGGCCTCCAACCAGTCGTAGGAGCGCCCCGTTCTCCCGACGTTGGCGGTGGGGGGGCATCCGGGCATCCGGGCCATGCGTTGCGTGGCAAAGGATTCGCTCTGCCTCTTCAGAGGCACCATTGGACAGGAAGCCCAGGGAGCTCCTTCTTTGGGGAGTTGTCCCGCTTGTATCGGTGTCCAGGGTGGAATGAGTCTTCTAAGGTGATGTCTAACAGGGAAGAAATCAAGTAATTATCAACAAACATATATCTCTGATGAATGATGAATAAGGAATGGTTGTGGTCACTCCCTGAGGAGGTGAAGGTTTGTGAGTTCATGTCACATGAAACTCAATTTGTTACTACAACACACTCCCAGCATAATGAACCTCACGTGAAAACCTCGCGTCCTTAGTCTTGATGTGTCTTGGTACTGTAGTTGAAGGAACTAAAGTCGAGTTGCACCATGCCAAATGCCAAGAACAGTGCTGCAAACACCTAGACCTAGATCTAGTTGACCCTCCAGAACCGCATGCAACATGCACACAAAGGACCCGGATCCACTGGAGACCAAAGAAAGCAGCCCCCAAACCAGGGGACTATATGAATAGACACCAGCCCCCAAACAGGGCCATGTCAGCTTGTGTCAGTCAGGTTGAAGCCACATCGCTGGAAGCTTCTTTGGAGGCCTTCTTCTTGTGCAGCTGTTGTTGCGCAAGTTCGCCTTCGAAACCTGTCTTGCATTTTCTGGCTCTTTCTTTCGGACTTTGAGCTTTGGACACCGCTGTTGCACGCCAGGATCTCGACTGGGGAGAGCATCCTCCATCATCCTCTTGGAGCGCCACCAGGTTCAAGAACTTCACACTCTGATCTTCTGAATCTGGTTCTCTTTCTTGCTGAGCCTGTTTTCGGCCTATGGATGCCTATGTATGCCTATGTGCGCCGGAACTTTGGGAGCCAGGCATTTGGCAAACCGGTCCCTTCATGGCCTGGCCAACAACCGTTTCACTTGCAATTCCTGCCCAGCTGGTTCGGCGGGGCAGGTTGCTTTCGGCCAAAGCCATTTGCCCCCAAGCAAACTAGTCTAACACTAAATTACAAAAGCTCCCCTCTGGACTCTGGAATGCCACAACTCCTCGTTAGCTTTAGCATTCCAATGCCTTTTCAAACTTAAAGACTCTTGAACATCAACCCCTGTGTGAAAAACATGCGCATGATCTCGGTCGTTGAATCCTTCCACCACCAGCCCGGTTCCGGGCTCCCCGGCGGGCGCGGTTCCTGGCGCGGTTAACGTTGGTTTCGGTGTCCCTTCGGTTGGAAGTCAAGAGTAACTATAGTGAAGTGGCACTAACAAGGATTTCATTGGCGTGTATTATAGGACTACTCTTCGACAGACTATATAACTACTGCATGTGCCCCCAGTGAGTGCCTTCCGAAAATTGTCCTCAAGCCCATAGCTCATAGCCCCTCCGGTCTCCCACTCTTGGGCGCCTGAGGATACTGCAAGTAGGGCAACGGTGCTCCGGTTTGCAGGTCCCTCATCTGATAGGACCCCGTCGAAGATCGCCTCGCTTTCCAGGGCTTTCCAGTTCGCTATCAGCACAGCCAAGCGGTGCTGGTAGAAACAGTAGAAACAGAATCCCAAACATGACCCATGGGACTCGAACATTTCGCCTTGGGGCATCGCTACGTTCGTAACAAGAAGCTATACTACCTGGACCCTCCAAGGGGTGTCCAATGGACTACCCCACACTACCTATAGGCTTCCATTGGGCACCCCTTGGAGGGTCCTGGTAGGAACGATTGAGATTCTCCCCGTAAATTGGTGTCGGATCCTCGCTCCAAATGAGGGACATGGCGGCCAGGACATAGCGATGGACTTGGGAGAATCAGCCATGTTCCAAAGGGGGCTATAGTCATTTAAAAGCAACTTACTGTAGCCCAAACACTCCATGCATGGAACAGTTATGCCTACCGTGACCCCCGAAACTACTACAATGTAGCTGAATGTGCCATATAAGGAGTATCTGGGGTCAGTTATTCTTTAGGATCCAATCATGGAACGAGCACTTCGATGTTCTTTCTGCCATTCATTCGGGTGACAACAGGCTGAACGAAGGCACAAAAAGCTGACTCCCACTCATTGACTTATGTTCCATGGCTACGTGGCCAGCAGGAAGACCTTTTTCCGAATACCAAACAGGTGGGTTTCCATGGTTTGCCACCCTGTGAATGAGTCAGGGCGCTTGGACTCAAGAAGCCTTTCAACAACAGGGACCTTTTGATAATCTCCCCAAACAAATCCGGCTCACGTTTTCCTGTCACTTGAACATCTGCCATCTCTTCGGCTCTTTAGGCACGCCCAAGTCACTCATGTCTAGAAAATAGCTGAGGCTGAGGCCCCTGCATTTGCTCCCGCTGCTCTCGTTGTCTTTGTTCATACTGCACTTGCTCTTGCAACCTCTGTTCTTGCAGCCTCTGCTCCTGCAACCTCTGTTCTTGTTGCCTCTGCTCTTGTAACCTTTGTTCTTGCAGCCTCTGCTCCTGCAACCTTTGTTCTTGCTGCCGCTGCTCGTACATCCTTTGCTCTTGCAACCTTTGCTCATGCAACCTTTGTTCTTGCAACCGTTGTTCCTGCAGCTTCTGCTCCTGCATCATTTGCTCCTGTAGCCGTTGCTCCTGCATCCTTTGCTCTTGCTGCCTTTGCTGCTGCTCGCGCAGTGCTCGCTCCTGCATCCTCCGCTCCGCCATCGCAGCGTCGGTGACATCTGGCCGGGGCACCTGCGGAGGAGCAAATGTAAACTCGGGAATCCTTGCTCGACGGAATTTGAAGAAACCTCTTCATATTATGGATATTGTTAATCAATAGTCTACACTACTATGTATATTTACTATCCTGCTCTTTCTCCCAGTATCTGTATGTATCCATCTTGATGATGTGCCAAAGAACCAGTGAATGAAAGTAGCAAAATCTGTTCTCCAGGTCATCTGCCCAATTAACTATATTATACCTATTAATCGCTTCACCTTGAAGTCATCACTCTCCTTACTTAGCCAATCTCTCCAACAATCAATATATAGATTATATATATAACCATACCAATCTAATTAAAAAAAAACAACCTTAAACAACTGATCACTCTCTCGCTCTCTCAATTATCTATGTTTGTTTCCCTGTCCCGGACTCCGCGACCGGACTCCGCCTGCCCCGGCGGACCGGACTCCGCCTGTGTCGCGCTACGTGACGCCGTCTTCTGTCGCGAATCGGTGAGGATCCTTCGCGAATCGTTTTCTGTTCGATCTATAGATATTATGTAGATACAAGCTTGGTAGTGAAGCGCACTCTGCCGTGGCCAAGATAATAGTTTGGATGATTTCCCTCCCATGAGAGACTCATGGGTCCTTCTTTGGGGCATTCGAAAGGGATTCGGCGAGTCTGCGACGTTCCAAGCATCCAAAGGACGGTTCGTTCCAAGCATTGCCGCGCCACGAACGGTCTGGTGTGACTTCCATGCACAAAAAGCAACTCTCCATGAAAAGAGTCTCCACAAAGCATGTGAAACTGGTGAAATCATGTGGTCAAACCCCTTGCTTCACATACCTGGTTTCACGTGAAACGCGTGGTTTCAACATTGCAATTCCTTCCCTGCATGTGCATTTCACGGTTTCACATGGATCTGCTTGGGAAATCCCACGAGCGACACCAGCCAGACAAGACAAAACAATGTAAGACAATGCCACAGAACTGAAAGGACCATTCAAAATCCCCAACGGCCCGTTGAAGCAGCTTCCCCTTCTGGTGCCTGTGGGACCCCCACCGAACCAGCAAAGTCGGCACCTGGGGCAAAACGGCCAACTCAGCAGCAAGAAAACGCCCAGATTTTTGGAGGGAGAAAAGACAGGCTGACATTTGGGAGGGAAGCAACCAAGCATATCTACTGAGTTTCTTGACTGCATTTTACAGGGGTGCTTCAAATATCCGTTGGATGCTCCAATTCTGTTTCAGCTGCGTTGGATGGCGTTTCTCCAGCACTGCGAGCTACGCAGCTACTCAATGACACATCACAGCTTGGCGCGGGGGATCCTGCTGGATGTGACATCCCCGAGGGGCGTGACTCTGTATGGCATGGAATGGATGTCCTGCACACGCAGTGGATGATAAGATCGGACGCAAAACAGGAATGGATGATCCATCAATCTCGTCTCTCAGTCCCTTCACAAAAAGCTATATATGATGTGGATTCAAAAGGACGTCACACCTCACCAGAACTCGAAAGACGTTTAAACAAATACAAAAAAGAACCAACATGTTGAAATATCAAAAACACTCCTTTGTTGGCCAACATTTGCTCTTTAGATGCTTCAAATCTGAATCTTCTCAAAAAACACCCTCTCTGATTCAGCCCCCCCTGATCCATACCCTCAAACGGTTTCTCTGAATTACCAAATGTTGAGATATGTTGAGTAGAAATCTTCACTCTTCCAACTTCCCTCTTGAATTCTTTCTGTTTCCGGACTCATCCGGCTACTTATCTAATTGCTCTGTAAACGAGTCCTTGTTGGGGGACATTCTATTGATAGTTTCTGCCTTTCTCTAGTTTTCCCGTAGAGGTCTCTACTTGTCTATACTGTTCAATGTTTTCCTTGCTCTCAATGTTGCTGCACATGTTTTATAGCACTTGTCTACACGTTTCTTTGGACTCTCCACTCCTCTTCTGCCTACTACCCGCTGACCATGCCCAGCCTCTGAGCCAACTCTTTGATGGGCCAACTCTGCCAACTGTTCGGTTGAGTAGGGATTCAACGGTCCATGACACGAAGCTATATGGGTGTGCACTTTCATAGGGAAATCCCAAACCAATGGGTTTGGGTACAGGTTTTGGTCTATTGTCCTTCTTCCAGGGAGTCTTTGACAGGTCCCCTATTTTGATACACACCCATGTCTCTGAAGTACATCATCCAAGAGTGAACCTCCCTTGGATGTGAGAGCCCTTTTAAGCATGCAGCATCCTGTCATCCCTACCCCCCCTTGTCAGCAGCGAATTCCAGTCAAATTCCACTTGGGGAGTTCTGAAAGCATAGATATCCGATGTCATCACAGTGGAATGGTTCAGTTGGGCTTCAGAGTTGGGGTACAACAATTCACGCCAAAAAAAGGATGCCAAGCATATTTTTGAACAACTCTAACAACTCTTGATACTTCCTACATTCACTGTGCAAACATGTGCAAACACAACCCAGAACTGCATCATCTTGTCTCGCATGTGAAACTAGCACTCGGTTCCAAACCTCAGCCACGAGATCGAAGCTGAAAACAGTGACAGCCATGTGACTTTCGTGAAACTTTGTACAAGAAGTGGAACAGTGCAAGTGTGCCCCACACTCCTGCAAACTGCGCAGCTCCATGATCAAGACGCTCAGGCACATAATATGCATTGTCAGAAAAGACCCAGCTTGTAGCCATCACACCAAAAACAACAACTGCCACAAGTGCAACTTTGAGGTTCTGCCACATCTCGTGGAGCGTGGACGACCCGCGTTGGCAATACCTGCCAGCAAAGTAGGTGAGCCAAATCCATCAAATCGACCTGCGCGCAAACAGAACCAAAGCAAGCACCCATATATATCGTCGATGGTGTGAGCGCCACAGGTTCTGGCATCGGAGACGGCCAAATCAAAAGCCCAGCTGTTCTGGTGAGATCATCCTTGGTGTCAATCCCCCAAGAGGATCTTCACCGGATGGAGCCTCTTGGTGTCAATTCAAAATCAAGAGGCTCCATCCGGTGCAGATCTGGTCATGCAGTTTGTCCAACCGCATCCAAACCGAGTATGAGTAGTCTTGTGTAGTCTTCAACTGCCGGACTGCCAAACCAAATCGACACGCATTCCCTGACAATTCGCCTGTCGCACATGATGTTGGCTCCTCCGTCTACATGGCCCAGATCGCAGCAGGAACATCTTGTGCCGTCGAAGCTGATCTTCTTTAACTTCTCCTTTAAGGTATCTATCGAGCGAAAGTATTGCCTGAAGGAAGCTGACAGGACATAAGCACTGAGCAAAAGGAAAGAAAAACACCTGACAGTGAGCGATCACGGCCACCTCTCCCACAGCCGGAACTGCCGTCATAGGCCCTAGGCAGCATCACGACAAACGCAGCTATGAAAAGAGCGATCGAACATGGTCCAAGAACAGTTGGTCTGATAAGCAGTACTTGTTCACTGGCCACTTTGCTTCTTAGAAAGGCAGCAAGCTCGAATACACACCACAACCGATCGCTCCACGTCGGGTCCCACAGTACAAGCATCTGGTCTGACTTGTTGCCAAGCTAAACATGCTAGCGGCCTTCAAGTCATCATTGTTCTCACTGATGCAAATCCGGTCAAGAAAGACCTGCTGCTGTGGCCTCCACAGAACAAAGGCAAGCACCGCAATAACAAAGCCGCTTGCCAGTGACCACGTCGACCAACGATGATGGTCTGCCCCGAAACAAATCATGCCCAGCAGGAGGCTGCAGCTATAGAGAATCGCCATGACCAAAGCGGTGAAAGTTCCTAGCAGGACTGATGGTAGCCCATTGTAGAGCATCATGAGTGACAAAACCTTCCTCAACCGCCCACCATGCCAAGAATGAGACCAAAAGCAAGAAATATGTTCACTCGCATGACTGTTTCCATAGAGGTCAGCCTCACGCTTGAAGGATCGCAGTGCTCGCCCACAGCACCAGAAGGCTTTGTGTGCACGAGTAGCTCTTAAAGCCTCGGGCCTTGAGATCTCCATTCGTGCCCCATAGGCGGCCACCTAACAGCGAAAACAAACCAACAGCCGCTCCCAATGTAAGATCATGTATACGTTGCTCCGTTTCTCCTACTTCTCTTGCACTAATTATGGGGATTCCCGCCAAGAATAGAATATTTTGGAGCTGACCCCACCCCTCTCCCTGCTTTTTCTGACCCAATACCTTCAAATGACCATCATCAAAGTCTCGATCCTGCTCCAACGGCTCGATCGGCCGCTCGGGCCGCTCGCCCGGGACGCTCCACCAGGTCGCCTCCGACTCAAAGGTCCCTTCGGACAGCTGCCCGATCGCTCTATTGGGAGGTGTCATGGCTTGACATTTGAAAATCCTTGAAAAAAGAAACTCCAGTTCCCGGAGTCCAGCAGATTTCGGAGTCGGAACGACAAGGAGACAAGTAGAAACGACTTGGATGTGCCTGACAGCTACGCATGATTCAACACATTTCATGAATTAGTATGAATTGTCATGAGCCCGATAGAAAGTTGATTGACATCTGCGGACACGTTGATTAATGCGGGCCCCTACAGGGCTGCGGATGACCATGATTACAAAATGTTACAAAACTACTTGGTAAACTACTTGCCAGTGTGAAGTTGGCTTTGAACATCAGATCAATGCGCAAATGTATACTATGCATACTGGTTGCGCGGCCATATGTTGACCAGGTCTTCCAGAATACCTGAACTCCGAACTGGGCACTCATTGGGCGTCATATGTGGCGCATTGTGCCACCCCGCTGGTGTCTTTTCGCCTCTGGCCCCTTTGGGAGTCGGAGACGCGGTGGACGCCGTGCATGACCCCGCAAAACAAAGAACAAATGAACCACCTCGAGAACCATTTCAAACCAGAAACCACGAAGAAGACACATATCAAACCTCGTCTACATCGCGCTCCGGACAACACCAGTGTTTGGAACGCCTTCCATCCGAGGGAACGCCTTTCGTGCTCGTTTCAGTCACTCCTAGGGCCTCCTGCTCGGATGGATCGGCCTAAGAACGGGTGCGGGAACTGCCCATTTCCAGCCGCTGACGAGTCGCAGATGACGACCAAACAACACCACCAAACCACCACCCCCAATGTATATAGCTATATGATGCTGTATGATTATATATGATATTATATGATTAGCAATCAATTTGTGAACAACTTACCAGCACCTTCCAACAGGTCTCCGAAATGGGGGCTTTTGTGGACTTCAACGTCGCAGGTGGTGATCGAACTTGGAAGGCCCTGGAACATGGATCCTTTGGGATAGAAATAGTCCAAACTATCTCCAACCAAAGGTCCACAACGTCCAGGTCCACATCGGGTCCACAGAGTCCACAGCGTGTGGACGGTATTTGGCTTTCGGTTGGTTTCGAAAGCGGTTGCTGGTCGAAACGTCAAAGAACGCATGAGAATTTGTTCAGGAACTGGAGAAACATGGGAAGGGATTGGAAACGAGCACCATTTGCTGGCGATCGGAGTCCGAGCACTTTTGGGAGTTTCCTAGCGCCTGTTTTTTGACGAATCATGATGAAAATGAGCACTTCGATATCGTTCGATATGTTTGGATCACTCTCCGACTCATCCGACTCCTTGACCTCTCATCCGACTCCGTGGGCCTCTCTGGTAGGCTGCCTAAGCCAGGTCGCTCAGGGCCTCGAGGAGACGGGTGAGTCGAACGGGTAGCTGCCGGACCATGCAGGTCAGAGAGCTGTCTGTTCGGGTGCTGGTCTGCAACCAGGGGTGGTTCCAGTCTGAGATCAAGCCTGGACATAGTTGGAGTGTCTGGGGGCTTGCAACCTCAAACACCCTGAGAGGTGGAGACACTGTCACGGAACGAGCTTTGAGGGTGCTTGGGAGGCTTGGAGGGTCTGACCGGACCTTTTGAGGTCCCTACAATGGCGAAGCCCGTGAACCTCATTGGAAACGTTTGCTCTGATTGCCGTGCTTTCGAGAGAATTCCAGTTCACAAAGGGAATCATTCCTTCACGTGGAAATCGGTACCGGTGCGTCTGTGTTCACAGCCTGAACACCGAACATGAATTACAAACTGAATTCAAACTACCCTAAGAATCCCTGGACCCTCCATAGCAGGGGTCCGGACCCTCAAAACCAGCGACTATCTGCGGCGTCTTTAAGCTTGCGGCAACCAAACCTGATCAAACCTCCATATCATCTCCATGTATATATTAGAATCTTGATTGATTGCAAAACCTCAAAACGTCTGGGAGGGTAGTCCAATCGAATCTACGTGATGGAGGCGCTGCTCATGCCGAGCTCTCGGAACGCTGCTCTCATCTGCTATCGGGAACGTTCTCTGGAGCTCCGTCAACCGGGTTCCGGCGATCTACCAGCCTACCGATTCTGGGTGTCCCCAACCTGGAGGCCTAGCAGGTCGAGACGAACGGACAAGGACTGGTGTCGCGAAAAAGGTATGGCTTAGGTGTATGCCTAGGCCTGTGAAAATCAGCAATCCTGTTCCAGATATGGAACTAGTCCTAATACTTTTGTGGGTCACCGAGAGAAAAGATCGGCCACTCCATCCGAGATTGCAGCTATAGTGCAAACCCATGCAAAGACGTTCAAACACCCTACCCACAAGCACGCCTGACTGTGAAAGAGATGGCTAGCGCTGTTATCCGCTTTTGAGCTTGGATCCATGCAAACGCACTTTGGACCCCCCCCCTCCCCCTCAACTACAGTGTACGAACATGTCTCCCGACGCGGTGTTTGCCATCGTTAGGGTGTGTGAAATGGGCCAAGACATCCTCCCCCACCAGTGATACAGCGTCAAACATCTGGAGGGTTGCCCCGAAACAAGACTCATTGTCCAACTACAAGTGGGTCTACTCAGCTTCGGATCGGTTCCTTCTCCGGTGAACTCGCCCGGGTCCAGACCGATCCGCCGGGTCCGCAGGGTCCGTCGATCGGACGGGTCCAGACGAGGTGGAACGAGAACCGGTGGATCGGAACCGCACAAGGTCTGCCGAACTTCCAAAGGTCACAGGTGGACCAAGTTCGGCAGACATGTGACATACTTGGAAGAGCCTATAGGTTATTAGATCATGATGAATGTCAGCTACAGTCAGGTGGCTTACGATACGTTAGGTGATGACTATGGGTCTATATCTAGCTGACGTACATGGAGCATTTTGGTTTGCACCTGAAAGCATCAACATCCCATCTCTGCCGTTCGGCTGGCCTCTCCATCCAATGAGCTCCTACGGAGACGGAAGACGTTCAACGTGGCACGTCCACCGTCAAACAGCGTTCAGATCCCAAACACTCCATGGGACCCTCCTGGACCCTCCGACCTTGGTGTCCTGGCTGGACTACCCCACACGGATCCGGCCGGCCTCGGCTTCATTCCAGGGCACCCCGAAAACGGAGGGTCCTGGTTAATGATCATCTCTTGAACCCACCTTTTTTCACACCATTTCTGTGTTTTGCGTGGCCTTTATCGAGTGATCCTAACAGCCCGTCTGATGTTGCGTCTGAAGGATCCTGATGAATGAACCGCTAGCGGCAAGCCTCAAGCAGATAGAGGGTCTAAGCCAACCACCCGGCTGAGCTTTGGAAGATGCCAACCACCCGGTGGTGCCGAGCTTCGGAAAGATCGCCAGCTCACATCGAGCTGAAGCTGCAGTCCCATCAACAGCTCAACAGGTGAGAGAAGGTAATGGATCCATAATGGTTATTGTTATATGTTCTCCTATTCAAACAGCTTTTCTTTTTTTGTCCGCATGTTTAGCCACACTTCGATTTCTCTGTTCTGATCCACACCCATGTCCTGCTCATATTTTAACAAGAATTCACAAAAGCAAATGCCCCAGCCGATTTGACAGAAGAAGTGGAATGGCCCTGTCAACCGGTAGGTAGACCAAAGGGAGCCACTGAAAAGGGTTGCTTCTCGAGTTGAATTCAATGGACCCTAACTCCCGAGCCGCCGGAGGTGAACCGAACGAACTCCACCTGTTCCTCTTTCCAACAAAAAGGTTAAAGGACCAGGAGTCACTAGACGGGGTGGTGTTTAGTCCCATCCAGTGAGTGGATGTTGTGGGCACCCCTTACCTCCATGGATAGCTGTTAAAGGACGTCAAAAAGGTTATCCACTTTTCCTGGGCAGGTGGGACCTTCTCCATCTCAGGTCTTCTAGATGTCCTCCAATTCGAGAAACCCGCTCCTCTATTGCAGCAACCAATCATGAGGTTCCAAAAATGTTCAACCCACTCACCAACAACCTCTGCCACCGGAAAAGAATATGCCTCCCCTCTCTCCCCCTACCAAAGGCATGTCTCAGGGACGTAGATCAGTTGGGAGGAGAAGATGTTCTCTGGTCGTTTTTGCGCTCGATCGAAGTCGCTGTTCCCCACAGCCACCTGGACTCCCATGTGCTGGTGAGGGCTCCAGATTCATCTGGTTCACCTGCCATAGGCGCAGGGGGAGGCACATGTGGGGGATGAATGTTCCTCAAAAAAGGAACTACCATGAACTACAGCTAGATTTGGGAGTGTTTGATCAAAAGGGGTCAATGATTGTGTTACACTGTGCTATGATAACAAGGCCAATTGATTAATATTGCCGTCAGCTGGGCCGGCAGGAAAGCCATGCACAAGGTGACTTGTGCCTCTCGGCACACATAGCGCCTCCACCCGTGCAAAAAAAAGGCAGGAAAGCCATGCACAGTACAAGCATCTCAAACAATCTTCCTGCAGCCCCAGCGGCTTGTCTTTTCTGTCAGTGAGTTTGCTTTGACAAGTTCTGTCTCCTCCTAAACCCTGAGTACATTATATATATATATATACACTAAGTATGCCGCTAAGTATGCACAGAATGAAATATTGCACTCCCGAAAACTAACGTAGACATAGACCCTGACAATGGCCCCCTGGATTGTTTTCCTCTACCAAGCAGCAGTTTCAGGGTCCATGGGATCGTCTTCCAGGGTGTACTATCACATTACAACTGCATGTGTGTATCCGTGATTATCCGTGTAATTATATATCTTTCCCTAGGGATCCAAGTACCTTCTCAGAAGGTGTTTGGGGTGGGTTTGGAAGGTCCAAGTGCCTTCTGAGAAGGTACTTGGATCCCTAGGGTTTAACAACAAGCACCCAAATGTTTGTACAATAGGGATCGGAACCCTGGCGCTCTCTTTGGAACCCATCGAGATGGGGATTTCCACTGCTGGTGCACCTGGCTCCAGGTGCGCCCTAAATGGATCCACAATCCCCATGTAGAGGAGGTTTCAACCGATGAGGCTTTGATGCTTTTACAATCCATGTCTGGGGAGGTTACTGTATATTGACTCAAGAGTCTATACTATAGTCAGTTCTTTGCAAAGACTTCAAGCGTCAATCTTTGGATCTGGACACTTCTTCGCCCACCGTGGGCCGGAACTCCTCGCTTTCAACCCCAAGACAAGAGCAGTGTATCTTCCAAAAGAACCTGTCAGAAGACAACTCCCTATTTCAGGCCACCTCCCCCCCTTTGAAGCGGAACCAAGCTCGATGCCCAGCACCAACCCGTTCGTGCAAATGCGGTTCTCCCGCCACCCCCCATCCGGTGCGGGGCTCCCGCACCGGAGTAGAGTATCCTCCTCCGGGTCCAGTGGAGCCCTGAAGCTGAAGGGCGGACGTTGGATGCGTCTAGTGTCTGTCTCAGCACATGGGTGGGTTGAAAATGATGGTTGTCTCAGCACACGTCGGACATCACAATCGGGGTTTTTGGCTGACAAGAACTGCCAAAGATTTCAACTTGGCTGGCATTTGATCTATCTATCTTGCTTGGGTATGCTTGGGTGATCCCCTAATGACGGGTGAGGGCTGGGGGGGGGCCCCATTTTGGAGTGGAACGTCGTGGAACGTCCTGCACATCGCCAGGACATCTTGGACCAAGCGCCCACGAAAAAACATCGGGGTTGATAGACACTCCTTTTCCCAGGCATTTTCCCTCCAATACACTCCCTAGAACTGACATGGAATTGGAGAATGGCCCCGAGTTCGGAAGACCATGTTTCATCCTTTACAAACAGGGGGTGAACTCCACGAAACCAGGTTAGGGACCCAGGGAGAGTAACTGCCCCGAACTCCCGGGGTGATGTCTTTTCCCGATCGGGCGGCGAAATCGGTGCGGTCGAGCGGAAGGGTCTCGAAGCGGAGCCCAGTCTCGCCACACCCCAGCGCAGCCTCTACGTCCTGTCATTGCTAAATACTCGTGACTGAATAGTCGTGGCACGGTTTCCAATGTTTCCAATACATTTTGAAGGGATCTACGAACTTCTGTCTATTTTGGGGCCTATATACTTGGTCTTGCCACCACTTCTAAGCACTTCCTCAACATAGCACAACTAACATCACAACTGCTTATGATGGACCATGGCCTTTCCCAGGAATTGAGTATGAGATGTGAAGGGTTCGTTTTCTGCAGGGCTCCCACTACCAATAAGCTTCACCAGGGTAACTCCATCGTTCCTGGCCCGTGCAAATTCCCATCAAGAGAATGGGCCTGCAAAGCGATGCTAATCAGCAGTTGTCCTGTTTGCTCTCCTTTCTTGAAGAGTGGCACTGGTACCTGCAACCGTGCGAATCGCATTGCAGGGCAAATGATGGCAAACGGGGACATACATGGAAACAGAAAAGGAACCGAACCGAACCATCGCCAGCAAAGCAACTGACACATGTATACACACATATATATATATATATAGATTCATTGAATTGCCGGACTGGTGGCTGCGATGTGAAGTCAGTTCGCCATGATCCTGGCGCCCTCCAAAGAAACTTCAACACAATCCAAGCTAATATAGACTCTTGATTCATACACCCGCCCATTGGAATTGAACATTCTCTTCAAAGGGGGGATTTATGAATCAAAAAACCAAGCGAACCTAAGCCCACCCCACCCCCTGCGCCGCCCTCCCCTGACCTCCTGTGGACGGCCACTGGCTCTGCGCCACAAGGTGTCCAACGTAAACTCCGCCTCGTCGAACCGCCGCCAACGAGCTTCCGGAGTCGGGAGAGGTGGGGGTGAAGACTTGGTTCGGACTGTCTTACGAAGCATAAGGAGTCTATAGCCGGATGCCATTCTAGCACTCCAGATCACTCTAGGACCTAAATCTCTAGCACTCTAGGATTGTTTGGTCAGATTCAAATCGTTTTTAACGTCATTTGGTCATTTGGCATTTCTACATGCATGGTCTGTGTGGGAGGAACACCTGCGCTACCCAAAGCATCACCACAGTTCCACCACAGTTCCACCGTGGTTTCTCCGGTTTCTCCGCAGGTCGTGCCAGTGTCGAACTCGTCAGTATTGCATGGCTCGTCTACCTTGGCCCTCGCTCTCGCTTGGTCTGAAATGACTGGCAGTGGAACTGACATGAACTGGCCATATTACCATGAACTGGCATATGATACACAACGGTTGACCTCAAACACCATCTACCACCCCAAACAGGTCGTATCATGATCTATCATATACCCTGGGGATACAACCACCTCCTGAGGTTCGGTGTTTGGGGTAAGTTTTGGTGGTCTAGCTACCTCCTGAGGATGTGGTTGGAGCCCTAGGGTGTATACAAGTGGACAGGCGACGAGACTGCGGTATATCTTCCAATGTTCCTAAGTTACCAAAAACAACTCTTGAAAAGTGTGCGCGAGCGTCAGAGATATTCTGAAGAATTCTGAACATCTTCAGCTTCTACTCATGGATTCGACGGGGGGAGGAGAGGTTTTACTAATCAAGAGCTATGCCAGTACCTATCCACACCTTGCAAATGAAACGGTTATTCCACTCTCATCCTGTTCTGGGTTCCGACAAGGAATCGACGCGCCCCTTTTCGCCAGATCTGCCTTCGATCTTGAGGCCGTCCCAGTCTTTTTGACCAGACCAGTTGGGATCTCAAGAGAGGTTGAAGCCCCTGCTTTAGCCCATCCCATATGTACCACAAACCAGGGTCCAGGCCAGGTCTTCCACCTCCAACCGTTGGGATCTCAGATCTCTCAAGCCCAGAGCTCGCTCGCCGACCGAGGTCCAAGGTCCGACCTCTCGGCCGCGGCCTAGCGAAGCCGCTGGAATTCGCGCTCACTCGAAGATGGTCTTTTGATGTAGCATCTGCCTCTGCTTCTCGCACAGGATCTTTGCCCCAAAGCGCTTCTCCACCTCCTCCACGTCGCGGACGAAGCGCTCGACCGTTGCCTTGTAGAGAGCCTGGAGAAAAAAACACCACACAAAGAGAAAACCTGGAGGACTAACACGAAACACCAACTTTATACACTCCTAGAATTATCATGCAAGTGGATGAAAACCATCTATTATCATCTATATTTGTAGAGGATTCATGGTCATCCCAAGTCGCCGGAGACCCTCACACATCCCCGACAAAGCATCATCACCATGGAATTGAGCTCACACACACAGCAATCCAAGCAAGCTCAAAGGATCTCAACGATCTTGTTCGGTTCAGGACATCCACCCCGACTACAGAATTGACCTTCACCGCCCCCACTACGGACAAAAAGGTAGGGCGAACGAATCAACAGGTAAAACTCGTCAAGTCATAAGTCATAAATGAGTCATATGGCATATGAATTTCTCTCATTCTACGAGCCGGGTTGTGCCCCGTGAAACAGCCTGCTTAAGGTTTGTCATGTTCCAGCCTGCTTTTTTCAAGCACCGTTCCGGTCGTCAAGTCGGTGCGGGTCGGCGCCTGGTCAAGTCGGGTGAGATCATCCAATTTCTGCAGAACCTCTTCGGACTCATCCTCCACCGAGTCCTGGTAGGCCACTCCATGATCTTCTCGTGTGTCGACATAGGTCTTCCAGCTTGGACGATCACAGTGGCAATGTGCCGGCAACGAGTCCAAGAAATAGGCATGGAATAAACCTCAACAACGAATTCTGGGGAGACAGATCCGCCACATGTTTTTTCTTGGTCATCACGCAGTTCGGGAAAGCGTCTGGTGGCATGTCTTTACCTTAAAGGGAAACCAATGAGAATGAGATCCAATGAGAACGACCCCACTGGGTCACTGGAACGAACCAAGGTGCTTGGACTTGGAGCTGCCACACTCCGTGTTAGGGACTCCACGGGGTAAGAACCATCTAAGAACCATCCAATCTTTGGCGGCGAAAGTGGGCATCACTGAAAAATCTGAACTTCCAGCCTCCAACGCCCATGATTACCTTACACTCGCTGAACTCACATGTAAGTAAGTTCCATGGCCCCTTAGAAGATCTTTTGAAGACCCTTTGCATCTACGAACCGGTTTCTTTTTAGATGCATGCTTGCATGCTTGGACTTTGTGTGCCAACCTGCCGAGCATGAGCTGGCGTCACAACGGCGTCAGCGTGTGGGGCGAAGTGCCGGGTGCTGACCAAAGCGACCGTCACTCACGGAAACTGGATGAATTTGGTTCTTTGGAAGACTGTACAAGAGAAAAAAACTGCGGGGTTTCCCACTTCCACGTTGGTGACTCAGAGAGAAAGTCCTAGACCATGCTTGCCGATGTCCATTTTCAGGCCTGAGACGGCCTGCTCATCACCCCCCGGTGAGGTCGATTGAGCCCCTCCAGATTGAGCAAGATGTTCTAGAAGTGAATGCCGCAGCTGGAGGGCTTCTGGAATTCTTGCCCAAAAGTCAGGGATCTCTGACTTGGGCATCCAACGATACAGGTTAGACAAATACATTTCTCAAGAGCTTGGCCTGGAAGAGGTAGGTAGACCGGCGTTCTCCGGTTCATGGAAGAGGTAGAAAACACCTCCAACCACCCCACTGTGTGCTTATTCAGTGTGCTTTGTTTTGGGAGCACAGGGACGACAAACAAATCAAGCCAAGGGAGCTAAGAGTTCACAACATGGCTAAGAGCTCACAGAAACAAAATTTCTGAGTGCCGCGGACTGTTCCAAACCGGTCTACAAAACTGATTTCTCTATACAGTGCGGGGGTGTCCCCAGCTAGGGTCCAACATGTCACCAACATAAAGGAGGGATGACCCCCCATTTCATAGAGGAAACCACAGGTCTATGACCACCGCCCTGATAGGCCTTCTGGGTCAAGAGACATAGGGACTCGTGATAGGCCTCAGTCACGCCCACCAAAGTCGTGGCCTTCATGTTCTTCACAGCCAAGTCCTGAAGACGACGACAAAACATCTCCGACGAGAACGAGGTCACATCTCGTGGGCCTCGTCGTGGTGCCAAACGATGGGTTCGATGCAAACAGCAAACAGCTGTGGGCGTACCCGATGGATCCAAAGGCACTCTGAGGTGAGGAGGGGCCCTCCAGGCTGGATACATAAGGGTAAGCATCATGTTGGGGTGCATTTTGGCTTGATGGATTTTCGGAAATTGAATCACTTCTTATTGAAACCACTTCGTCCAGGGTTCTGGGCTCCAAGAACTCTCTCTCTCTCTCTCTCTCTCTTCGTCCTGACTTGTTGAACACAAATGACACAACAAAAGAGTGAACCCCTTTCCTTCTGTGGTTCAGGCAGAGGTCCACCCCAGCCAAACCTCAACTTTGGTTATCAATTATTATTGATTTGCATATGATAGCTGCAGGACTGCCTCTAGGTGTTACCCTAGAGCAATACTATGCAATGTTCTACTTAAGTACAATTTATCGAAAACGAATGACACCCTCATGACACCATCACCGACATCGACCTTTTGGGCCCCCGACAACAAAGGTACGGAGGCTGTCCCCAGTGGCTGTCCGTACCATGAGTTGCTGTCGAACTGCCGAACTGAACCAGTTCGGACGACCGAACGAATAGGTCCCCAAACACCCGTTTCACCCGGTGGATGATGGGGCCATCTGGGGCCTGGTTGCAGGGCCTTTCTTGAAAAAACACAACCAATTAGTGGTGCTCGTTTTTTATTTTAAAACGTCTAGATATATATACCTTAGGATTCAATGCACGAAGAAAACGTCAGGTCTGAGTGAATCCCCGGGGTTTTCAGATGAAACCTGGGGTTTTTAGCTGAAACCTGGGTTTTGGTTTTCCTGGGCGGCCCTGTTTTCCCCACTGATGTGAGGGAACCTGCCCTGGTCTGAATTAGGTGGTCTAAGGCCTAAGGTGCACTCAGCTCCTGGATTTAACTATAGAAGGGCAAACAAAAACAACTGGTCATTCGGACAGCCCCCAGACCCACGATTGTTTCACAGGTTTGCATGGGTAAATCACGGCTTTGGCATGGGTTTGGCACGGGTTGGGAATACCCAGGGTTTTCATGGAAACCCGAGGTTTTCTTACTAAAATCACGGGTTGGCACGGGTATATCACGGGTTTGCCACGGGTTGAACACGGGTTAGTTGACGCAACATCTCAATCCGGAACTTTTCCCGATTGGGGCAAGATAATTCCGTTGTGGGGAAGATAATGGGTTTGAAAAAAACCTGCGCTGCTTCATGTTTCTTGGGTTTTTACCAGGTTGTCCTGGTCAAGTCAAGTCTTAGAGCGTTTAATCGCTGCCTGGCTGCCGGATGGCAGGAAACCCGGCGTTTTGAATGGACACCCGATGTTTTGGATAGACACCCTGGTTCTTTATTGGTGTGGTGTATTATAAACTCGAGGTATCCATCGGACCCCGTCATTTTTGTCAGGGTTTTGATGCTAAGCCGCATCCAGTTACCACTATAGCTGGTAACCTGTGGTTCCAAAGACAGACTAACCACCATTGACCTAGAACCCCTGGTTCCTTATAGTGGTAACTGGGATGCACTGGGAAGGGTACATCAATGCTTCGCTCGAAGGGAATCACCGAAAAACACGGCACGATCGATCCTTTTTTTGGGTGGATCACGGAAGGACGCTCGATCCTTCGAGGGCTTCTTTTACAGCGGCTGGGCGCTGGATTTGGAGAGTACAAACATCCAGTGCAACTCCTATACTTCCACAGGGCTCCTGTCCCATCTTCTCTCAGGTTCGGTGGTTGGACCGCTAGGGCGATCTTGAAGGTGATTGGAAGCCAGGGGGGCCCATATGTCTCCCATGGACCATGGAGTAAAATATCTGGGTTCCATATGTCTGACATGTCCACATCTATGTCCACCTGTTGGATCGTTGGCAGGTGGACGAATCCCATGGCGCCCATGGGGCTACTCCTGGGACGTTGGGTTTTCGAAGTCAGGGCAGCACGTTGGGACGAAGACATGGAACGGGGATCCATGTCATGCACCACCACTGGAGAGCCACCACTGGCGGACTTACTCTAAAAGCACTCCGAGCCCTTGAGGTGCGGTGTCCGAGGTGCGTTGACCTGGAGACCTTTTGATGGACTTACTCTACCTGGAAGGTCTTTCGCTGCATGGTGGACCAGGGCTGAGCCTGCAACCCTCCCTCCCAAGTGGATGGCACCCCCCCCCACTCATCGATTCCGACCGTCGTCTTCCGAAATCGGAAGCGGAATCGTTCCGGAAAGCACCATACTCTTCGATACTCGTCGTCTCGTCTCGTCTAAGTTCATCTGGGCGGCCAAGTCAATCTCCTTGCGGCAAAAGTTCACCCCCGCCACCGAGCCGGACGTGGAATTCAAGTCGACATCGCACACCAAGCGGGCCTCGTCCCGGTCGACGCGCTTGGCCCGGCAGCAGTGCAGCCAGGCTGAAAGCCAGGCTGAAAGCCATGCGTTTCGGGCTGCGTTTCGACCCACTCCGCTGCGTTTGGTAGAAGCCAATGATGGTGGAAATCGCACTACGACTGATTGACCCTTGAAATCAAACTCCCCCCGCATTCTGGTCAAATTTGTGCACCTCAACTATACAGTAGACATGATTTGGTGCAGCTTGGAGTGCCACCAATTGAAAGAACCGAAACAAAATATAACAAAACAATTCAGTACCAGCTCCATCTCCAAGGAAGTCACCTGCCAACCAGCAACATCTTATTAAACATACCTAACAATAGACCCTGCTTGGTAGTTGAACCCATTATAGCAGTTACCATGCATTCTGTCTCATTCTCTCCTCTTCCAGTCCGGTTGCGAGGACGACACGTCGCCAGTTCTTCACGCGGACGCGGCCGCGCACGGCCCAATCCAGTGGTCCCATGGCGTCCAAGTGGCCGACTGAAGGTTGTAGGGGCAGTAGCACATGTCTTTGTCCGCCCAAATGACTCGGTCGGCAACACCGTGGTGGGTGGTCTATGACGGCAGAAGGGTAGGGTCGACAGGACGGCAGAAGCCCGCGAGGGTCTAGCCGGGCCGACCGCGTCTCAAATGGACCGCGACCGTGAGGGAAGGAAACAAGGAGGGAAGGGAACGGAGCTGGCAGTTGGATACATGGCGTGCCTTGAGTGCCGGTAGATTCCACATGTTTGCAAGCACATGTTTGAGTGAACATTGTGTTCCCTGGCCTTATATATCCATTGCGATTCTTAAACCTTCACGCTGGATCACGATTTTCCCCATCAATCTTCATCGTTTCGATTCAAAGCTCGTTTCTTTCATGTTTCCAAACACGTGGTCCAGAACCCCAAGACAATCATGTGAAGCTCTTGATATCTCTTGATCTCTTGACCCTAGAATCAAGTCTAAAGACTCTTCGTGTTCCATCTTTCTCCTAAATGAAGCACAAAAAATCATGCCCTTTCAGGTCACCTATATAGTCAGACCATCCTAAACTGGTGACTCCCATGGAAAAGAATAGACATGTCCTTTCCCATCATAAAAATGGATTCCTGGGGTGTCACGATTGACAATAAGACCCAAAAACAACCACACAACCGGTGGATGGTATTATAATGTATATAACCATATGACATAAATTCTGGATCTTTCGGGATGGACATTTCAATGGGGTGTCCTATCACAAGTGCTAACATCCGATTCCCAGGACACGGATGAACGAATCCAGGCCCGTTCCGCCACACAGTT